AGATGCTCAACAGGAGGGTATGGTCGAGAGCGACCCCAGCGATAGTTCAGATGATGACCACCAGGATATCCCTCAGATGCCTCTCGACGACATGACCATGAGGCCGGTAGCTCCAGTTCAGCTCCACCTGCACCGCAGACAGATCCAGCTCTACTTGCTATACTTGAGCAGATGAGGCAGGATCAGGCTCGCTAGGCCCAGGAGACCGCAGCTACATTTGCATAGTTTTAGGCCAGATAAGACGAGTTCCAAATGACAATGACGGGATATCCAAGAGGGAGCAGCAAGCCATGCAAAGAAGAGGCGACTTCTCGATGCAAAGAACGGTTACTTGGATTTATGCAAAGATGTAATTACGCTATTGGGGCTCCACCGCCATAGCCTTCACCCCAGATCGGCCAGCCTACCACCACTTCTATGACTCCACTTTATAGCCCATCGGCTTGGTCGAGGGACAGCCAATGACACGACGCTTTCCTTCACCTACAGAGCAGGTGTCCCAGTGGTTTGCCTCGCCAGTGGCAGCCCCGAAGTTCACACCTCTTCATACGGGCTTCACACTGGCTCAGAGTTCGTCATTGCTTATGCCAGATACCCTAGTTTCATGGAGCCTTGGTGCTACTTTCAGTGAGTTGACAGGGCAGCCTACTCCGCCAGATCTATATGTCCCTGGTCCTTCCACAGTTGCTCCTATCACTAGGACTACAGAGACGCTCCCTTCATCGGTTGCATCATCGAGCACCGCTTGAAAGATACCCTCAGAGTCATAGGCCGCACGACCACGGATCGACCTGCATCGCTTGACTTCACTTCCAACGACAGAGGTCATACAACTCGAGCTCAGATCGATGATGATCTGCTGCCCGCCTCAGATCGCTCATCGCACCTCGGCCCGACTCGTCTCGTCTGCAGCCCCCGACCGACCGACCCTTAGGTTTTGGTGTTTGACGCCAAAGGGGGAGAGGGATCGAGTATGGTAGACTTAGGGGGAGCGTTATATCTAGGGGGAGCTTTATCTACATTTGGTTTTTTATGTGTGATACATTTTTATGCATTCATGTTTACTATTATGCATTGAACTACATAGTGTGATTGTAATCGTGATATTAATGTGATCGTGATATTTATGTGATATGTGACATGTGTGCTCTCTACTTCGATATTTATATATGTCATGTCACTTGGTTATGCTCATTTGCTTTGCTTCCGCGTTTTACTCCAATGCAAATGAGTTTTATTTCTTGTACTCACGCTTATTTCATATCTATTGAGTACATCATGTTGGCTTGGGTCATATAAGCTTGCCTAACTCTTTTGTTCTTATTGTCAAAAGCTTATATGAACTAAGCATGTTGAAAACCTCATCTCTTTTACATACATGAGGTTGTATTGTCATCAATCACCAAAAAGAGAGAGATTGAAAGCATCTAGGCCCCTAGTTGGGTTTCGGTGATTAATGACAATATCAGATTACTGTGACTAACGTGTGTTTTACAGATGCAATTAAGTTAGGTCATGGTAATGGTAATTGATTGGGCAATATGGTTGTCATGCCCCTATGATGGAAATCGTTTTGGTTTTCAAAGGATGGATGACAAGGTTAAGGATGGACTAGTTCTAAGTGTCGTTTGGTGTTAAAGAGACTTGCTTTTCCTTTGGTCGTACTATTAAGGGGGGTATGGACCGGTAGCTTGACCTAGGTGAGTCTAGTGGGTTAGGTGTGGTGCACACTTGTCAAATCTAGCACTAGGTAGCTCCTAAATAGCCCTTAGATCAATTGGTGCAAACTTCATTCACATATGATTGCGAGTTGAAAGTGAATGGCGTAGAGTCCGGTCAGTTCATTTGATCAAGGTGAAGTCGTCTGGATGCGACTGGACGCTGAGTGAAATATGACCGTACGGTGGGTGCCAGAGTCCGGTCAACTCCAGTAATGTCCTAGAGATGGAGAATCCTGATCGGATGCGTCCGGTCAGTGCTGACCGGACGCTGGTCAGGTTCCGGCTACTCACCGGACGCTGAGCAGCAAAGTGACCAGACGCTGGGTGCCAGAGTCTGGTCAACATCAGTAAGGTTCCAGATAGCAGTTTTTATGACCGGACACGTCTGGTCAGTGCTGACCGGACGCTGGTCAGTGTCCGGTCATAACTTAACTGCTCGGTTGTGGGGAGAACTGACCGGAGCGTTCGGTCACCTTGACCGGAGCGTCTGGTCACCCCGTAGTGGCACATAATGGTTCGTTTTGAATGATGGGTTATAAATACTTCCTCTTTTCACTCAAGGGGTCACTTTTGCTTATTTCAACAGCTGAGAAACACCTTTGATAGTGCCAAAGAGAGCAAGGTCCTAGTGAGGTGATTGAGATTTGAGAATCCAAGAGAGAGGCCTCATTAGTGAAAGCAAGAGTAGCAAAGTGTCCGATACCTCGGCAAAACATCGCTGCGTTCCTCCCTCTCTCTTTACTTTGAGCAATTTAATTCTTGTCTTTACATTCATAGAATTGCCATGCTAGAGTAGATTGAAACTTAGGTTGTAAAACTTTTGTGCAGTAGAACATTAGAAACACAGGCACAAGGGGTGAAGTGGGCTAAGTGTAGGGTTTAATTATTGCAAAGAATTTTACAATTAGCCCAATTCACCCCCCCTCTTGGGCATCTAGATCCTTTCACCGTCTACGCCTGAGTGTTTCCACCAGAGGTGGTGGAGGGCCTGCTATGCAGTGGCTGCTCCGGCCCTGGACGCTAGTTTTGGCCTCCACGTCGGTCGTGCCTGCGAGCTCCGCCTAGCTAGGCGCCTCCTCCGCCGTGGCCGCACAGGATGCACCCATCATGGCCACATAGGATCCGCCCGCCGTGTCCGCGCATGGATCCCCTACTGGCATGGCCTCCTCCGCCGTGGCCGCATGGTCGACCTTCGCTAGCGCGTGGTGGTGTCTGGTCCAGCAGTCTAGGGTGAACGCGACCTCGAGGACATAGACGAGGTAGAGCAAAGAAAATCCCGGTGGCAGCCCAGACGGTGACCTCGCCCGTGGCAACGATGACAGCCACGGCAACGAGCACAAGGAGGAGGAAGGCCGCGTCCCGGAAGAAACTAGCGTAGTGGATGGCGAACCCCTGACCGCCAAGGCGGACAGCGATGACCCCTGCACGGCCGACGAACATGGCAACACTAAGCCCCATGGCGGCGGCGGTGGCGGTTGTCACCCCCTCCCTTTCACCATCGTCTCCAGACGCGATGGCGGAGAGCGCATCGGGCACGCCATTCTCGAGCGAGAGGAGTGTGGCCCCGGATGTAACAGAAGTAGAAGAGCTAGTAGAAGAGTCTCTGTGTCGGCGAGCAGGTAGAAGAGCACGGCAAGCCACACCGCCATCGCTCCGTCAGCCCCCCCAACAACAGTAATCAAAGCAATAAAAATGTAATTAATGAGGGGTAGCATGGTTAAGATTTTTAATTAGCTAGAGGATCACCAATTATGATTCTGATGGAGCGTGTAAGATTGCCTTTATTAGAATTTAGGAGGCAGCCATAGAAGACAGATCGACGGAAGAAAATTCTATGCAACGGTATCGCACGCCTCTCCCGTTGCTACACCGTGTCATCGCTTCACACCTGTCCTGCCCGCCCCTTCCCGTCGTTCTGCGTCGCGCGCTGCCTTCGCTCATCTGTAGCTAGGCCCGTTCTTAGCCAAAGCCCTAAGCCGTCCTCTCTGGTTCCTCTTGTTCGTACCGAATTCATGGCTCCGTGGCCGGCAGTTAGTTTTTGGAGAGGCAGATCGAGCGAATCTCTAACCATGTGTTTGATTGGCGGGTTGAACTGGGATATCCCGGGTCCGACCCAGATGGTCCCGTGTTTGGATGGGGGATGTGTGGAACGGGGTCGACCCGTGTTGGCATATTCCCCTCAGTTGCGGGTTCAACTGATTCCACCAAATCGAGGGGACTAAGCGAACCCACTTCGACGGTGTCTATCTCCATCTCCGCGTCCGCGTACGCCCCCGGCTCGGGCACTCGTCCCCAGCGCCGGCATCCGCCACTGGCCCCAACCCTAGCACCGTCATCCGCCCTGCGGCGGCGCCCACACTGGTTGCGAAGGAGGAGGAGGAGTAGCGGCACAGGAGGAGCTTGCGGATGCATGGCTTGGATGGGGAAGAAGAAGGGGTGCCAGGCCGCTGGGGCGCGTCGTCCGCTGGGGCGGAGCAGGACGGCACAGTGGCGGAGTGGGGCCGCCGGGGCGGATTAGGGCCGCAATGCGCGCCATACGTCGCGACGGTAGATGGAAGAAGGAGACATGTCGCTGAAAGTTGGGTCCCACATATATAGCAATTGACGGGGTTTACAGCTTTACGTGATTTTGGATCGAGCTGGCTTAAAAAAAACAGCAGACTCGGCTCGTCGGCTCAGACCGAAGAACAACGCCCCGGCTCAACTCACGCTGACGACGGGCCGTCTCGCCTGGTGGTCCAGCGGGACACGCGTGGCCCTTCTTCGCGGTGTCGCAGCAGGAGCGGCGTGCGACGCCGTCGCATACAATTTTCTTCCTAGATCGACGAGGACAACGTAGCACGGCGCGGGCCATATGCAGCCGGCGAAAGCGGCACGCACAGAGGTATTAGTATTAGGGTGGTCGCAGTTTTCCTGGACGTCCATCCGTCCGTCCGTCCGGTCCAGCCTCGTGAGCACACATCCACATCGCACTGCTGCGCCAGCTGCACCTCCACTACCACACACCCGGCGCTTTATTTCTTTGCATCTACAGCAGACAGGACACACGATCTCATCCACATATTATTCCACTCCATGCTTAGCCACAAGCCCACAGGTGGCAGCCTCAGTTTAGTGACCCACTCAAGTGTAAGTGCGAGTACTATAGCTGTGCTCAAGAGGAAACAGCAAGCAAGTGATAGTTCAAAGCTTCCTCACTTGGTACATCGCAGACAAATACAAACACCAACAGGCTGTAAGAAGGACGGAGAGTGGTGTCCTGCTTCTTAAGCCGTGCTAATGGAGGCAGACTTGATGAGCCTCGGCTTTGACTTCTACTTGCAGCCACCGCCTTGCTTCTTCGACGAGCCCCAAGACCCAGGCGTCGTCGACAGGTACGTATTTGTAGATGACCCACCTCTCTGTTCGTTCGTGTTCGTGGGGGCGGCCGGGCCGGGGAGAGAACAGTAGTGGCCTGACTGCATGGCCTCTTGGCTAGCTGCTCTTGCATCATGTACGTGCCGAACGAGACTGAGTCAATTTCCACCGGCCAGTACCTCTCCTGCGGTGAGGACTCGAGCTCGCCTGATGGCGCCAACTCCTTCTCAACGCAGCAGGCGGTGGCGTCATCACCGTCGTCGCCGCCGCCGCCAAGGGAAGCGGCGACGACCAAAAACGTAGTCTGGGAGAGGAACCGCCGCAGGAAGCTCAACGGGAAGCTCTACGCGCTCCGCAGCGTCGTCCCAAACATCACCAAGGTGGGTGAGTACGTATATACGTATTATTTTTAGTCCACTCTCCACAGCCATGATACATGGACGGGGAGATGAGCACCTGCAGTGCCTTTTAAGTTTTAATTTGTTGCGTACGTGACGTTGCTGCAGATGGACAAGGCGACCATCATCAGGGACGCCATCGCCTATATCGAGCAGCTGCAGGAGCAGGAGCGCCGACTGCTCGCCGAGATATCCGTTCTCCGCTCCTCTGACGACACCACCGCTGGTGCCGCCGTCAAGACGGAGGATGCCGCGACCGGCCAGGCAACGAACGACGGTGGCGACGACAGCAACCCGTGGAGGAAAAGGATGAGAATGGCGGCGTCCGACGATGGCCTTCCCCTTTCCATCGACACCTCACCGCCACTCTAGATCCTCGAGGTAATTAAATAAACTGAGATCGACCAAGACAACCGAAACTTGCCGACACTTAGCAGCAAGGTACTGAGCTGTCTGCGGCCACATCACGATTGAATACGCATTTGCAGGTGCAGGTGTCGGAGGCGGCGGGGGAGAAGGTGGCCGTGGTGAGCCTCCGGTGCAGCAGAGCAAGGGATGCCGTCAGCAAGATTTGCCGGGCGCTGGAGCCGCCGGCGACACCATCGTCCACACCATGTTCGTCGAGGTAAAGGTACGCGCAGTCGAGCTTTCTTCACCCAATAATTGTAGTGTTGTTGCCATGCCACACGTCCGCACTCAGATCGGTCACATGCATCGCTTTCCCTTCTCTGTATGCCATGTCCTCGGCGGATGACGTCAGCCAGTGTGACGTCAACGTACCGGCCTACCGGGGGTTTCTCTTTCTCTATCCAGTGCGTGCTTAATTTCTCTATTGTCGTTGCCATTAGCATTATTCGGGGGGTGGGGGCAGGCAGACCTACCCTTGAGACTTGAGTTGATCACTTTTTCTTTCTGGGGAACTAGTGTTTTACTGCCATTTTTACTTTACCGAGCCAGTTGAACTGCTTCTCGTCTGTGTCTACATTTTTTTCTCTGTTCCGTTGGCGGCCGCTTTTGTTGGACGGCTCGTCGAGTCACGGTGTGAATCCGAATGTTTGTTTCAAAAGTTCGTTGCATCTTGTCCATAAAAAAAACAATCCTATTTTTGTCCCATGTATAAAAATATCTTGCGTTTTACCAAACTTGTAGAACATAATTTCAACATTATGACTCCAAATACAGATATTAAAGAAAATGTATTCTATATTGAAGCTAATAATAGTTATTTGGTATCATATAAATATTTATATTGTTTTTTTGTATATTTTGGTTAAATTTGAGATAGTTTAGCTTAAAACAATCATAGGTGTCAACAAACGTTGGGCAATCTATACCTCTTATAAAGATAAACCCTACTAGCAATTTATCTTACCATGCAAAGTGTCTACATTAGCATCCACTAGAACATCCCACTAGCATATTCAACTATCTCGTCATGCAAAGTATCCACATCAACATTCACCAACACATGCCATTATATCTTCATTGAAGCTATTTACATTAGAAAACCACATCATTTACTAATATATATTTAGCTGTCCACGTCAGAATGTTAAAAATCATCCACTAACATGTATTATGATATTTATTCAATTATATTAGTAAATATTATATTAGTAAATATAAGTAGTATCAGTAGCAATGTGGGGGACATTCTTCTAGTTATTGATAATTTTTGTAGAAATTCTCTAGATTTATGCAAAAACGTGTGACCGCCACGTGTCAATATTATATAGCACCGCGTTTACTTCTGTGGCTTCATTCGTCATGGTAGGACTATAAATTAAACTCTTGACTCACAACCACATTCACACATGATATATTTCCATATAAATTCGTGGTCTCTTTAATAGTACTACTTTCAATTAAATCTTCACTTCTGGGATGACCGATGGGTTGTGAGACGTGACTTGCAAGAACAAAAGACATGAAGTGCGAGATAGGGGGACTTACCACTTTTGTAAGTTACTCTTTGGAGTTCTACACTGTCCGTTCCAAAATTGAGGTGTCTTTTGTTTCAAATCAAACCTTTTTAACTTTGCCTGTTTATTGTGTATAGTTAAAACTATTTAATTAACAAAAAAGGAGATATTTAGCTGTTATTTGAGAATTTAGTTGAATTTATTCAGATGCCTTAATCACATTTGCTGCACATCAGGTTTGCGAAACTACCATCATTTCGAGTCATACGGATTCCACTATCACTGTCAAGGAGACAAATGGGCGGATAAAGTTGTTTGCTACAACAGATTGAAGGGGAGGGCCGAAGTGGATCTAGTCACAGATGCAAGACGATTCACGAACTCGTAAATAGTTTAATTTTTACAAGTTATGCAGATAACTTGTAAAATTAAATCTTGCACCTCTAGGTCCAACAGCAAGGAGTTGCTATAGACATAGGAAGGCGAGATAGGGTACCATGTACATCAACCTTAGTTTTGACTATATTTGAAGCATAGGGAGGACAGAGAACCGTTTGGTAGTGTTATAGATTCTTCTAGAAACGCTTCAGATTCAGTTTTTCATTGGAAACATGTCTCCTAGAATCAAAATCACTTTGTGAACTGTTTGGTTTGTACGCTGGATTCTAATTCTCAAAAAACATGACAGTAATTAAAATGACAAATATAGCTGCCTATGTTAAATTGAACATTTTTCTACAATTCCTGTCTGTTGCAAAATTTAGTGGTTGTGCTCATATATGTTTTGGCTTTTCTAGATACATAACTTTTATTAGGTATGTAGACATATCGTTTATCTAGATGCATAGCAAGAGTTATGTACCTAGAAAGGCCAAAACGATCTATAATTTGTGGAAGAAGGTGTTACTTCACATTTCTTCTCCACTGGCGTGCACATGGCACTTCACATTTCTTCTCCTTCGGCGTGCATGGTCATAAGTGGAATGTCTGCAATTGTTGCTCTTTCTCTGTCCCTTGAACTTCTCTATGGCCAAGCCCGTGTGGGAATGGAGATGTACAAAGACCATTCTGTCCGAGAGGAGTGGGATCCAAAGGGGGCGGAGCTGGAGGTGGAAACCGATGGTGTGCCTCCAAGGCTACGGACGGGAGCTCGTAGAAGGCCGACACCGCTAGGTCATGGGTGTGCCTCCATGGCCACGGACTAGAGCTTAGAAAAGGCCGCCACCACTAGACTGTGAGAAGCAGAGGGTGGTCACAGGGTAGAGCGGGCTAATAAGGAAGCATTGATACGTTTCTAGCGCGATACCAAGTTTGAGTCAATTCATCCATGTAGTGTCAAAAGCAGAATCGTTCCTTCCTGTTTCTAGAACGAAACACTATACTTTTTTTTTTGTTTGACAGCGATTCTTATGTTTCAAGGCAAAATTGGAACTGCTCTAGCATATCAAACGGGCTCTAAGTGAAGCACAATGGATTTCCATACACCAGTTGTGTCTTTCAGGACAGGCTCTGGCTAGCTGGAGATTATGTTTAGACATAATATGGCGGTAATCTTCTAGTGGGAAACAAAGACGATTGCAATTATCAATTTCAACGGAGATAAAAAACCACAGCACATCTATGCTGAATCTATACTGATACCAATATTAGTTATCGTGCAAGCTGTTTTTTCTGAAACATAGAAGTGTTTTTTTGAAGGCTAACATAGAAGTGTTTTTGATATGCAGATTGAAGAAATGGGTGGTGCTCAATTAAAACCGACAATAGAGGCTGCTCTTGTACAGCTCGATGTGCCCAGATGTCCACTCAAGACCACGAGTAATTGGGAGGATTGATTGATGCCATGGAAGCCTGACTTCTAAATTACCGGCGTGTATCCATTTTTGTTGTTTTTTCGCAATGAGCTAAGTAGTATTGTATCTGTTCCAAAATGATCTAGTTTTTTCCAAAACGAAAATGATTGTGATTCCATGCTCCTTCCATCTACAATATTTGTCCATATCACACTATGATCACATACTGAGGAAAATACTACTTTTCTTAAAAAAAATGTCAAACGACAACCCAGACCTTTACTTTAATAAGAGATTTAGATTTGAGAAGTGGTTAGAAATAGTCTTTTGGGAAAGTAGTGGAGAAAGCTTGGGAAACTCCTTGCTATGCTAAGAAGAGTATGGATATTTGGCAATTTAGAGTTAGAACTTTCAGAAGGTTTAACGTCAAAAAAAAAAAACTTTCAGAAGGTTAGTTAGAGGCTGGGTTCTAACCAGATTGCTGAAATGAATAAGTAGAAGGTTCAGTTGTCAAGAGAATATGGTAGGTTTGAAGAGTTGGCTGAATTGAGAAGTCTGATTGATTCAGAACCAGAGAGGACGGGGGTTTTAGAATCAGAGTTGGCTAAGTTTTGGAGAATGCAAGAAATTAAAATTAGGCCGAGGTATAGAGATAGAGAGATTGTGGAAGGACATTGGAATACAGCCTATTTCCATGTTGTATAGCAAATCAAAGAAGTAAAAAGAAAACAATAGATCACTTAGAAGACCCTAATGGACATGTTCATGACCAAAGGTTTTTATAAGTCCCTTTTTGCAAACGGACCTAGTGTAGGAGTGTCTTTGGGGTGTAGTTTTTTTGGAAGAGTTTGATAAAGTCAACATAGAAGAGAATAGAGATGAAAACGGACGAAAATGGTCGCAAAACCCTCAACTGTTTTCTACTTCTACATTTGAATAGGAAAACGAAAGCGAAAGCGATAAAGGCAGACACGAAAACAAATACAAACTTACGGAATATCGAGAATTTCGAAAACAAACTCATTCAAGCATAATTATGTCGATTACGGTCGGTATATAAAAGATCAATACAGAAGACCGACCTGTAGGACCACTGGCATAACAATTAACAAGTGCTACAACTTTTATATAAAAAGTATCTTCATTTGACACTGTATAAGAAAGATATATTTTTTCTATGGCGATAAACGCTTGTATGCGATTAATATATATACTACTGAAACTTTGTTTAACTTTTTTATCATCCTAAGCGACCTCAAATGAAAAAACTCAAAACTATAAAGTTGTAGATCTCGTCGAGAATTATAATTTTCATCTAAAAATCATATTCATCCTAGATCGTATGAAAAAAATACATTTTTTCTAAGATTCCGACTTGCCCTAGTTGAGTTGGACTTAGTGGGCCAAAAACGGTATATACCGTATTTCAAAAACAGGATATCCCAAATAAAAACTGAAAAAGTAGAAAACGGTCAGGATAACAACTAAATCGTTTCCGTCCCGTTTTTGACTTTGGCATACTATATTTCATACCTGTTGTTCTCGGCCTAAGCCTTCGAACACCAGGTGATTACTAAGCTAGCGAGAACCCATGAAGGGAGTGTAGCGAAGATGTGACGAAATGGGAATGGCGAAGTGAGTCAACGGACAATTGGTT